TGGGTGGGGGCTCGTGTGGGGGGGGTATGTGTGTGTGTGGGGTGGGGTTGTGGGGGCATGGGGGGGCGGTGTGGGGAATGGGGGAGAGGTGTGTTTGTGTGTGTGTGTGTGTGTGAGGGGGCGCAGTTCCTCTCCCCGCGGCTGGCCGCCACGCTGCTGGGGGTGTGGGGGGGAGGGGGAGGCGCCTGCTGCCTGGGGGCCGCTGGGATGTAGAATGAAATTGAAATTGTTTTAGTGGTGAAATAAATTAACGATCCTTTTACCGCTTGCAGCTCGCCGACCAATTCTGCAATGCCATCGGAGTGCTGCAGCAGTGTGGCCCCCCAGCCTCTTTCAGCAACATTCAGACTGCAATCAACAAGGACCAGCCCGCTAACCCGACAGAAGGCAAGCTGTTCTTTGTGCATCTCCGAACAAAACCTGAACGTGTTGTGGTATAGCATGCTCTGTGATACAAAATTTGTACTCTACTTCATGCTCGACAAACAATTCTACCAGTAGCCGGAGGAGTGATTGAAGTTAAGATATAAATTGGTCTCAGCTGCACTCTCTTCAAAGATTGTGGTAGCAGAAATGGTGGTGGTTCATCACAAGTGGTGTCCTCCAGGGCTGGGTACTGGGGCCAGTTCTCTTTAACATCTTCATCAATGATCTGGCCGAGGGGATCGAGTGCACCCTCAGCCAGTTTGCAAATGACACTAAACTGGGTGGGAGTGTCGCCCTGCTGGAGGGTAGAGAGGCTTTGCAGAGGGATCTGGACAGGCTGGATGGATGGGCCCAGGCCAAGGGGATGGGGTTCAACAAGGCCAAGTGCTGGGTCCTGCGCTTGGGTCACACCAACCCCCTGCAGCGCTACAGGCTGGGGGCAGAGTGGCTGGAGCTGCCTGGCAGAAAAGGACCTGGAGGTGTTTGTGGCCCACAGCTTCTCTGGGCAACCTGTTCCCGTGAGCAGACACTGCTTCCGCTGTGTGGCTGCACCCACCGCGCCCCCGAAGCTCGCCCAGAAGAAACGCCCGGAGGTCTCTAGCCCAAGCCGGCCTGTGGCCGATCCCGTGGCGGGCGGGCCGCGGCCTCCCACCGGCCCCGGTGGTGGGACAGGGGCTCCTCCCGGCCTGCAGGGGGCGCGCCAGGCCCGTCCCGCCCCACCGGAAGGAGGCCCGCGCGGCACCACCTCCGTCCCCCGCCCACGCAGCACCCGGGCGCCCTATTGGCTGCGCTGGTTGCGCGCGGCGCCTGAGGGGCGGGGGCGGCGGCGCCATGGCGGATCGGTTAACGCAGCTGCAGGACGCGGTGAACTCGGTGAGGCCTGTTCTGCCCAGGCCAAGGGGATGGGGTTCAACAAGGCCAAGTGCTGGGTCCTGCCCTTGGGTCACACCAACCCCCTGCAGCGCTACAGGCTGGGGGCAGAGTGGCTGGAGCTGCCTGGCAGAAAAGGACCTGGAGGTGTTTGTGGCCAGTGGGCTGAACAGGAGCCAGCAGTGTGCCCAGGTGGCCAAGAAGGCCACCAGCATCCTGGACTGTGTCAGGACCAGCGTGGGGAGGAGGACTCGGGAGGTGACTGTCCCGCTGTACTGGGCACTGGTGAGGCCTCACATCGAGGTCTGTGTCCAGTTTTGGGCCCATCACCACAAAAAAGACATTGAGATTCTGGAGATTGTTCAGCCTGGAGAAGAGGAGGCTGAGAGGAGACCTTATCTCTCTCTCCACCTACTTGAAAGGAGGGTGTAGTGAGGTGGGTGCCAGTCTCTTCTCCCAATTCCCACGTGAGAGTACAAGAGGAGATGGCCTCAAGTTGCACCAGGGGAGATTTGTGATGGATGTTATGAAAAATGTTTTCACAGAGTTGTCAAGCATTGGAACGGGCTGCCTGCCCAGGGACGGGGTTGAAGCACCATCCCTGGAGGTATTTAAAAGATGGTGGTGTTTCAGGCCATGGTTTAGTGGTGGTTTTGGCAGTGTTAAGTTAATGGTTGGACTCAATGGTCTTAAAGCTCCCTTCCAACCTATATGATTGTATGATTTTAAGTGTTACATTACTTTATTTTTCTTGTGCTGGTTTCTTTGCATAGATACAGTAGCTCTACAGATGTAAACCATATAGCTTTATATAGGAACTCTGCAAGAGGTTGTTAGTGAGTTGTCCGTTACGTCCAAGAAGTCTTAGAAAGAATTAGTGTTGGTTTTATGAAATCATGTATGAATTTAAAATTCTACGTGACATAAGCTTTTGGTTATTTGTGTTTGTCCATTTATCTCCTTGTTGGCATTTGTGGTTTTGTTGTTGGCTGTTTTGCTTTTGTTTTGTTTTGATTTATTTTTTTTGTGCAAGAAAAGAAACTGATCTAAGACAAGCAAACTAAAAGTTCTCTCTGACTTAAGAATTTCCAGTTAGTGTTTAAATAACCATGCTGTTCTAATCCTGAATCAATCTTCTTTTCTTTTTTTCCCCTTTTTTTTTCCCCTTTGAGAAAATTTTGCATGTATCTTGTATCAGATTAGGCTTGTCTATTAGGATATCAGGGGAGAGTGTTTCGCAGCACAGTGATGCACAGTTGAGTACCAGTTCTTCATTGTTCTGTGGTGGTTTGCTCTCTGATCCTGGAGGTAGTTGGAGGAGCCAGTTGAAAGACTTGTTTGCTTCCTCATAATGCTTCCTGCTGTCCCTGGTGCGGGGGTCGCTGTGCTGCCAGGAGTCAGAGGCTTTGTTAAGGTCTTAAAATAGTAGATTGTGACTGACTTCTCTTTTGATTTGTCATTTCCAAAAATTCTGAGTATAGCAACTTCAGTAAAATCATACCTCCAAAGTGTCTTCAGATATTCAAAGTCTATAGCAACTTCAGTAAAATCATACCTCCAAAACTATCAGTTATTTGTCTTCAGATATTCAAAGTCCTAATAAGAAGGCCTTAAAGCTCTTTACAGGTAAACCCCGCAGTGACCCCAGGTAAGCTTTAAATGGACATGTTGGGTTCTTTTGAAGTTAAGTGTATCTTTGAGAATGTCAATCTCTTCTATGGATTTTTGCCATAAGGTGGTGTTTTCTCTCATGCTTCCACAAATCTTTAATGAACCAACCAACATAAACAAATAAGTAAGATCTTAAATTATAAAATTGAAAATTCAATATTTTAGTGGTAGTAATGAACTTAATTCAAACTGAATGGATGCAATTCCATATGGAAAGATTTTGTTTCTGGTTCATGGTGCCTCTTATTAAAAGTCCATGCCATCTTTCAATGATATAGCAGCTAAATTACTGTCTATTACAAACCTCCAATTCTTTTCCATTTCTTAGGGGCAATTTAACTTCTTCTGCGGCTGAATGGGAATTCTTTTTTAAAATTTAAAAAAAACTCAGATTCTTTTACTAATAATCCGTTGCTTAAATAATCTGTTTGAGTTGCTATCTTTACATAATTTCTAGTGCTCTTTTTTTTGTCTAGTGGCAGATTTCAAAGCAAGGATTGAAAGTAACATTAATTTCTAGCTACTTCTCAATACTCTAATGTAGTGACTAGAACACTTGATACTGGTATTAGTAATGTCTTAACTGGCTAACCATGATGGAGTTCTAATTATTTTCTCATTTGTACAAAGCCCAGAGCTTTGTATAACCGATTACTTTGTTTAATTTAAAATTGGAATCAAACTACCTTCATCTTCTAATACGGTTGAGTTCTCATCAATTGTGATACTATTGTTTTCTTCACATAGAAGAATTTTAACACCTGCATACTTGAAGTCTGTAGAATTTTCTGTGCTGTGAGTGCAAAATTGTGCTTGTTTCTAATAGTGTACTGAGTGGGCTCACTTTTCTGTTTTAAAGAGTACGCCCAACTGTTTGCGGCATTGATTGCACGAACTGCAAAAGATATTGATGTTCTAATAGACTCCCTGCCTAGTGAAGAATCCACAGCAGCTTTGCAGGTAAGAGTTAGTATTCTTAGTTAAAATATCAAAACATAACTGAAGGCAAACTTCTTCCTTTTTTTTTTTTTTTTTTAAACTCAGATTTTACTCTCTAGGCCATGTAATGTTGAAAAATCAGTTTAATATAAGCCTGAATTTTTCATGAGGGTAGCTTGTGAGTACTTTATAGGCTTAGTGGAAATACTGAACTTGCATCTGATTCTAAAGAAGATTATATGTGGTGAGAATATTTTAAACTTTTCTGTTAGAATGTTTACAAAAAAAAGTGCTTTTATCATAACACCACAATAATGGAAGCTGCTGCCCTTTTTTTTTCCCCCAGCTGTTCAAATATTAATACAACAGATGCAACAGTACTGATGTCTTGTGGGGGTTTTGTTGGTTTTTTTCCCTTCAATAATCTTTCATATTCTCTCACTCATTAGGAGGGCATTTCATTTTGTAGCTACAGAGCCAACACTTGACTGAAGCCTTTTGTCCTTCCACAACGTTTCTGGTTGTTGAAGGGTTTGCAGGGTATCCTCTAAGTTCTCCAGCTCTGTCACAAAACAGTTCTTTCACTTTTCAGTAATAGAGTGTCCTTCTTTGGACCTCCTAGACAAACTGGCTGCTTTTGTTTCTTCATCCTTCTCTCTTTAGACCACAGGTACTCTAGGAAGAGCCTGGGAACAGACAGCAGCGACTGACCAGGCAGCTCTTGGCAGGTGCAGCTGGTGTCACAACCCCCATTCCCTGCTTTACAGGAGCTGAACTGCTGCAAACACTTTGTGAACACTTTCATAATGCTCGACAGTTTCTCATTTTCAAAACATTCTTTTGACCCACAATTCAAAGAACGTTGCTGTATGGAGTTTTTTCTGTTTTTTTCTACGGATCTTGCCTATGAAATAGCATCTTTTTTCTTTTTTTTTTTACTATAACTTCTAGATTTACATCAAGTATTTTTTTAAGGATGCAGAGAGTGCTGTTTCTCTCAGAACCCTGGCACTCCTTTAAGATCACCTGAAGGTTTTACACCTGGGTTGGTCATCTGTGACTATTCAAAGGCATTTTGCAGAAGACTAAAGCTAGAGGTGCTTGCTGGGCCAAATACCAATAACTTGACAGTGACATCACACTTGGTTTTAAAGAGGGAAGATTAAATTTGGATACATTGCTAGTCACACTGATGGCTGAACATACTAATTGGGCCCGTTAATGCAGGCATAATTTCATAGAACTGCGTATTTAATAGCTGAAGACAGCTTTCCTGCTGCAGAGAAATTACTGGCTTCTTCCATGACTGAGCAGGGTCTGATCATAGTGACATCTGATGCAGGGAGAGCTGGGTGCTCCAGAAAGAGGAACTGGTTATTCAGTAGGGGGATGCTTTCTTTAGAGGTGATGCCAGAAAGAGGAACTGGTTATTCAGTAGGGGTGATACTCAAACAGTTTCTTGCTCTCTTAATGCAGAATCTCCTTTCACAAGAATTTGTGATCTTTTCTGTTTGGTCTGGTTTTGAGATAAGTGATGGAATCCAAGCTAACTTAATAATTCTAGTTTTGATTTTCATTTGATGTTGTTTAATTTGGTGTGTTATTAAAGATAAATATTCTGACATTCTTTAAAAGGACTGTTTTGAAGGTGCTTAAGTACTCTAAAATACGTGGTATAGGTTTTGTTGAAAAGTGATAGATAGATACTTGGCTAATAGATATGTACCTAGGCTGATCTATTTTTTAATAAGAAGGTTGTCCTGGTATATGTTTCAAATCTGCCTTAAATGATAAAAGGGGCTGCTACACTAATGTCCAACAGAATTTATCTATGCCTTTTGAATTCCCTTGCGGTGAAGTTGACAGAAAGTACTCCATTTAAATCTGCAGCTTACCTACAGTCAAGTATTTAGCAACTAAGACTGAGGTAATTGAGCTTGATTCTTTTACCTTTTGCTGTTTTCTTTCTGTGACCCTTCCTCCAAGGGCTATCATGTCCTCTGTGCGTATATTAATCTCCACTAAAGACATCAGAGTTGCAAAATAGAAGACTAATGTATGCATAGAATTTACTGGTTACTTTAACCATGACTTCTTAAGGACCTGTATATAGACCTGGATAACAGCTTTTTCAACTAAGACTGAGGTAATTGAGCTTGATTCGTTTACCTTTTGCTGTCTTCTTTCTCTGACCCAACAAACAAGGAGCATCACCATCACTAAACCAGACCTCCCAGCACTACATCAACCTGTCTTTTGAACACCTCCAGGGATGGGGCCTCAACCACCTCCCTGGGCAGCCCATTCCAATGGCTGAGAACCCTTTCAGTGAAAAAATTTTTCCTAATATCCAGCCTGAACCTGAGTTCAAAATATTCTGAACTTAAAATCTTTTATTTCACTGAATTTTGTCTAACTGAAAAGCAGTTTGGTTCTGAAATAAAATATTGAAGAAAAAAGTTACATAATGCGGTTTCATCTGAAATAGGCTATTTAATGGAAAGTTTTAAATAAGTGATGCTTACATCTGCTTACATCTGGCTGAGCACCTTTCATTAAGGGAGCAAGGAGGGGGATAAATACTTGCTAATTTTTCCTAATATCCAGCCTGAACCTGAGTTCAAAATATTCTGAACTTAAAATCTTTTATTTCACTGAATTTTGTCTAACTGAAAAGCAGTTTGGTTCTGAAATAAAATATTGAAGAAAAAAGTTACGTAATATGGTTTCATCTGAAATAGTCTATTTAATGGAAAGTTTTAAATAAGTTATGCTTCCATCTGCTTACATCTGGCTGAGCACCTTTCATTAAGGGAGCGAGGAGGGGGGTAAATACTTGCTAATCATCGAGAAAAGCTGTACTGAACCAAGGGTCGTATGACGAAAGAAGCTAAACATCTCTGTTTGGTGGGGTTTTTTGTGTTACTCCATGTGGATATGCACTGTTTTAGGCTGCAACCTGTAGTGAGTTGCTTTGAAGTTGCTAGTATTCAGGTTGGATATTAGGAAACATTTCTTTACTGAAAGGGTTATCAGGCATTGGAATGGGCTGCCCAGGGAGGTGGTGGAGTCACCATCCCTGGAGGTATTTAAGAAACGTGTAGACATGGTTCTTCAGGGCATGCTCTAGTGCCCAAGATTATTGGTTTGTCGTGGGCTGCTGAGTGTGAGGGGGATGGGTTTTTT